CTGGCTCCATGCTAAGGCCTGGATCTGGGGTGGGGCAAGGTTGGGCCAGAGCGAACGTGGGCACCAGGCTGCCGATCACAGCCTGGCAGGTATGGGTGCTGGTGCCCAGGCTTCGCCATGTTGCCCTGAGGCCTGGCCCACACCCCCGGGGTTGTGGGCCAGGGACAGTGCTGGCTGCAGGGCTGGGGGCGGGAGCAGCTTCCACCCTGCTCCTCAGCTGCCGAGGAACCTGTCAGGAACCTGTCGGGGCAGGTAAGGGCGGGCGGGCGGGAGGGAGGCCGCTGTACAGGGAAGCTCAGCTTGGCTGAAGCTGGAGCAGCGGGGGCCGCAATGACCAACCAGCCACTCAGCAGCCAGCACAGCCTGCGTCCAGTGAGGTCTGGTGTTGGCAGGTGCAGAGTGTGCAGGCCTTCCTTTCCTAGGAGAAGGTGGGTCCCTCGGCCACGACGTGGCTGGGTCTCAGCGCGGAGCCATCTTGGGCCTGGCCTGGGAGCTGCCGGGTCCACAGGCTGCATCTTCAAGCCAGGCAGATTCAGGCTCCCAGAGGGGTCCCATCCGTTGTCCACCTGGCAAAAGGACCTTCTAGAAAGTTCTTTCTCAAAGGGGAACTGACATTCCTGCCCTACTTTGTTCCAAGATGGGAGCTGTGGTCTCAGAGGTAGGTGTGGAAAACCCAGAGTGGGGCTGCCTCTGTCTCTGCTCAAGGATTTCTAGTTTGCTCATGGAAGGGCTTGGTTTTGTCAGCAGCTGTGGCCTGGATCGACCCTGTGGTCAGAGATTGCCCAAAGCCCGCAGGCTGGTGACAGTCAGTGTGTGGCAGGAGCAGGAAAGTGAGCTATTTCTCAGCTGCCCATTTCTGGGGCGCCACCTTGGAGCTGGGGGGCGCTGGTACTTGGGGTGAGGCCCAAAGTTGATTCTGAAGGGTTCTTAAATGCCGAGCAGCAGGGTGGCAATGTCCAGCCACACAGACAACCCAGTCTGGTCACGTTTGGCCTACACTCTGGGCCAGGCACACCCGGCCTCAGCCTGCACCTGGCTTGCTTGGACAGTTTCAAGTTCAGGAGCTGATACTGGTGGTGGCAGCCAGCTTCATTTTCTTTGAGGCAGTATATAAAGTTCATTGTTTCCCTTATTCCTGATGAACAAAACTTTTAAGATGTAAGAATACAGTATTTTGAGTAATCCACTGTGAGCATTACAGGCTTTTTTTCAGGATGAGCATCTGGAAAAATAAATAGGTTTTGTTCTGTTTTGTTTTTCCAGTAACTCAGATAAAATGTTAGCACAGTTGGCAGCTTCCTGAATTAGGCAAAGTAAGTTTTGCATTTATGAAAATGAAACTCAACCATAAAACATGGACACAGTCCACTGTTAATTTTCAGACATTTTCATAATTTGCAAGTACCTTATTTGCAAAATTGGTTTTTCGGGAGCTTTAGAGTCCTCAGGGCTGGGTGAGCCGTTCTGAGGAGGCTCCTGGCCCCTCCATCAGGCGGGTGGACCTGGGCTGTGCCCTGCGCACGGCCAAGGAGGGACGCTGTGGCCCTTGGGCGAAATGGCGGCTGTGCCTCGAAGACACGTAGCTGCAGCGGAAGCTAAGAGGCTTGAGCACCGAGCCAAGCCTGCCGCCACCACCACCCCCCGCCCCCTGCGGCCTCTGGCGTCTGGGTCTGGCTGATCCGAGCAGGCAGGAAAGGTTGGGTTTCAGCGCTTTGTTCTCTGGGCGGCCTGGCCATTGATTAAGGCCCGTTGGGCAGGTTAACCAGCCACCCACTTTTTCGCACCGGGATTGCATTCCTGGCCAGGCCCCCAACCTCCTCCCAGACGGGGCTGAGCTAGGCGCCCTGGGGGGTGTTTGCTCTACTGGGCAGCCTGGGGCCTCTGGGCCGCTTCGAGCCTTTCCTCGATTTTCCCAAGCGAGCCTGGTGGAAGGTGATGATTAACCAGCACCATTGGGGAAGACAGGCCGTTGGGGACCAGAGGTGCCTCGCCCAGGAGAGGAGCCTGCTGCTCCAGAGAGGAGCCTGTTTTCAGTTTTCATTTCCCCACTGTGGCTGAGGCTCACACTGTTGTCATCCCTCCCCTGCCCCCGTGCCAGGAGAAGCCAGGGTCCCCTGCTGAGCTGTGCTCTGGGCAGAGATGCATCTCCCATCCCTGCCTTGGAGTGTGGAGGACTGACACTCCTGCCCTCTGCGCCAGGCCTGTGCTCATCTATACTTCTCTCAGCCTACCGCCCAGGCGAGGCTCCTGACTGCCCAGTGGGCAGTGCATCACCCTGGCCTGTCCCTTGGCTGTAGCCAGACCAGCTTTGGGCCCTATAGGGTCCCCCAGCCCTCAGGGCTCCCCAAGACGTCCTGCTCCTGAGTGGCCAAGGGCATTGGAGACACTAGGCCCCCCCGAGCGGTGGGAGGTGGCCTGTCGGCCAAGCATGCTGGGGAATGTGCTTGACCCAGCCTGGAGGGTTGGATGCTGGGCTCTGCCCACGCCCCACTCAGCCCTGCAGCCTCCCCTGTGGCCTGGCCACCAGGCAGAGGAGCTGAAATTTCACTCAGCTCTGAAAGGGAAGCCTTAGCTCAGAAAACAAGTGAAATTGCAACCTCAAAGCACAGATTTGACAGGGTCAGAGGGACAGGTGTGTAACTTGGAAGGAAGGGGGCACATCCTGTGGTGTCTGCGGGTACAGGGCTACAGGGCAGGGACCCAGGGGTGGCAGGGACTCTGAGCCAGGACAGCCTGTGGAGGTCCATGTGCCTGAAATATGTCCGGCCACACCTGCCGGGCTGAGCCAGGCAAGGGCAGGTGTGCAAAATGCTGGCCGTGGGGAGTGGGGAAAGACCAGGCCGCCCTGGCCCTTCCTGTGGTCGGCTGGCAGCTGGTGGAATCAGCGCAGCCTGCACCCCTTAGTAGACACTGCAGGAGGAAGATGCTTGGACCCTACCCAGCCCCTCTCCAAGCCCAGGCTGCCATGAGGTAGGAGAGAAAGGAGCAGAGCAGGGTCTGAGAGGTCAGAGTGCCAGGAGACTCTCCCCGGGCAGCTGCCCAGGCCTCTCGGCTCCAGGAGGGGCTGTAGGCTGGTCACTGAGCACATGGGTGCTTCAGAGCAGCCCTTTCTGAATAGCCTTGTCCCCATGGGCCCCTGGGCGGAGGGCTCTGTGTTCTGTGTGGGGCTGCTGTTCACCTGCTCCGGAGCAGGACTCCAGGCCTGGTGCCACTGGGAGAGGGACAGTGAGAGGAGAGCCGTCCTGCCTCTCGAGCTGGGTTGCTTGTGCCTTGCCCAGTGCCCTTCCTGGGCGCTGGAGAAGGGCAGGTGGGGCTGGGCAGGAAGCAGGCTCCAGACAGCGTCCTGGGGCAGAGGCCAGTGGTATAGCCTGGCCAGCCTCAGACACGGGAGGTGCCAACCTGTGCTCACAATGGGGCTCTGGGGCCTGGACCACGCCTCTCTCTGGGACCACCCTGAGGGAGGCTCTACCCACCCCTGCTCTCCTTCCTATTCCTTGGGCCACCAGCCTCTGGGCGGGATCCCCTGCCTCCCGGAGTGCCCATCTGGGCCCACACAGTGACACTGGGGCTAGAGGGCAGTTCACTATGGCCCCAGCCCCCGTGAGGCCTCAGGCACCTGGGACCCTGCCAAGCCCTTGCCCTGTGGGGCTGCCCCCCCGCCCCACCCAGGGCTCAGAGAAGAGACAGCTCCTCTCAGGCACCCGTCAGCCCCCACCCAAGCCCCAGCTGGCGGCCCCCAGACCAATCTGGGCAGCCGTGGCCATCTTACTGGGCAGCATTGGATGGTGTCTGGTCTCTAATACTGCCTGGTAATGATGACGGCGGAGCCCTGCACGCAGCAACGGGGCCGCCTCCCCTCCGCTCCCACCCCACCCCCACCTGGAGCCCCACAACGCGCCCATCCCTCCATCCTGCCCACTGGCTTCTGGGTGGAGCCGCGGGACAGAAACTCGACCCTGGGAAGGAGACTGGAGCACGCCGCGCCCCAGCTCCTCTGAGGAGCACCCCAGCCTCCAGGATGAAAGGCCTCCTGCAGCTGCTCCACCCCTCCCCCCAGCCAGTGTTCTGGGGATTAGGACGCTCAGGTATCCTGGCCCTGCCCATGGCACCCAGGCAGGTGCTGCCACCACACCTGGCAGGTGTGGGCTGCGGATACTGCAGCAAAGGGCTCTAAGGGTAAAGGCTCAGCAGGGCCCATGGGTGGGGGTGGGGCACCCAGGCTGGGCCTTGCTCCCCTCCTGCTCCACCGTGGGGAGGCAGCTGTACCTCCAGCCTTGGTCCCAAGCCAGCACACAAGGTCCCCTGCTAGGGAAAACCAGGGAAGGCAGACAAGCGGCTTCAGGTCTCTGCTGGCCCCATCCAGTCCAAGCCATTCACTGCTCTGGGTCACCGGGCTCTGAGCCTATGGGTGGAAAGCTACACTTCTGTCCCCTGCACCCCGTGCTGGGTGCACCTGGGCATCTGTGGGCATCTTATCGGACAGTGCTGGATTTCTCGGCTTGACTCTAACACTGTCTGGTAACGATGTTCAAAGGTGACCCACTGCCCTCGAGATCCCCCGAGGATGTGCCATCCCAAGTTCCTGGATCCAGACGTAGGCAGGGCAGGGGTCCTGCAATTCTGGGGGCACTCACCGAGGGGGCACCCCTGCCCATCATGCCAAGGCTGGCTAGGCTGGTTCTGCCACATGAGGGGCCCCATCCTGGAGCAGCCTCTGCCTACCCTTACCCCCACTCCTCCCAGGCTGGGTTTTGGGCTCAGCTAGTCCTGTAGAGCCATCAGGCCCAGGACTGTGGGCTGGAGGAGGAGACTTTGGGCCTGTGGCCTCTCAGCATTCAGGGCTGTGTAAGTGCCCTGTTCTGGGGACTGGGGAGGCCAGTGTGGTTCAGGCACCCTAGCGCCACACACAGAACTGAGGACGTCCCCCACTGTTTCCTGACCAAGGACAAGGAATCTGCATTCCCTCTGCCAGCCAAGGCGACCAGGAAATTTGTCCAAAATTACAATCCAGGAGGACCCAGTTTATTTTTTTGATCTGAGACCAGGACACAGGGCCAGGAGGCCCACCCAGCATGGGGCAGGGCAGGGCAGTGTCTGCCCTTAAACCTTCTGTTACTCATTAAGCTGCCTGGAGTCATGCAGGAAACTGGAGGCTGAGGTGAGCATTTGGCCTGGATCCACTGGTCCAGACCACTCCCTGGTGGCATCCACAACACCCATTCCTGGACCGGGTCAGTGCTTATTCCTCAGAGCAGCCCTGGGTTTGGGGCTGGCTCAGCCGTCAGGAGGGTGGGCCCCAGGATGCCTTCCCTCCACAGGCACCAGGATCAGAGGAGCTCACTCCTGCCCACGATGGGCGTCTTACCAGACACGGTTAGATCTGGATGCTTCTGTCTAATACTGTCTGGTAATGCCGTCCATCTACGGCCTGGTCACCGCTGGAGCAGAACCCCCAGCCCCATGGGACCCTCACCGGACACCAGGCAAAGACTGAGGCCTGTGACCCATCTGGCACAGCTGCCCAGGCCCCCAGGACCCTGCTGCCTCCCCTAACCCCATGGTGGCTTTGTTGGCATGACCAAGGGTTTTAGGTGTGGAGACCTGCATCTGCTGCCCTCAGGAGCACAGCCACACCGAGGGTCACTGAGGACAGTCACCCGGCCCTGCACAAGTGGAGGCCCCCACCCTGAATCTTGGCCTTCAGCGCCTCCACATGCACAGGCCAGGGGCCTAACAAGGACCCAGAAGAAGCCCTGCCCATGACCCTGACGCAAGCATGGGGGAAAGGACACGTGGGCAGGGAGGGAAAGTCTGTGGCTCACCGTGGGGCAGCACCAGGACCCAGTGACCCCTGGGAGGTGCCAGAGGCAGGCCCTGGGGATGGGGAAATGGGCCACCCCCCAGGCCTCAGCTTGGGGGTCCCACACATTCACATCCAGGGCTGAGGTGGTTGGGGCCAATGCCAGGGGCCAGGGCCGATGACAATGACCATGGCTGGGTAAACAGGTGCACAGTTGTACAACCCCTGTCCACAAAGCTGACAACTGGGGCAGCTTTGAACTGGCTCGTGAGTGATGCTAGTTTGCTGTGACCTCCCCTGGGAATGTGGTATGCAGATCGCTTGTGAGACCTCAGCCCTGGACCCAAACACACAAACCCTGGTATGGCCAGTGCTCAGGCTGGCTGGTGGCACCCCGCACACCCCACCCCATCCCGGCCTGGACGCTAATCCTGCTCCTGTCCTCATGGGCCTCCTTTGTCCCGGTGGTGATGAAGTTGGTCTCTCTTGGGGGCCACTCTGCTCATAAACAAGGAACCCTGGCACGTAGCTGGCTTCACCCTCCCAGAGCAGCTTCCACCTGACTGCTCTGGACTGTGAGCCAGGCCCCTCTGGTGGAGGCGCCTGAAGGTGTGGGCTTCTCCTAGTCCTGGCCTGGCTCATTGTGAACAAAAAAGTCTGTATGGCAATAAACTCTGATTCCTGAAAGCAAGCAGACTCTGACCACCTCCTTGTCACTAGTACAGCGACCCACAGCTTTGCACAGGGCTGGGAGATGCCCCCCTCGGTCTTTCCTGGCTCAGTTCAGTTCTGGTCCCAGGGAAGCCCCGGAGCAGGAAGGACAGGACACAGTTCTGATGGGGACAGCAGAGCAGATTTCTGAGTCAGAGCTCTGAACCCAGGACCTAGGAAAGGTGGGCATCTGCCCAAGCCATGGCCTGGCAAGAAGCTCCTGGGGGCAGTGCTGGGGGACCCTGAAGGCTGTGCTCCCAGCAGGGGAGAGGCTGCCGTGGGTGGTGTGCGCCGCAGCTTCAACGCTCTCCGTGGCCACCACACAAGTGGCACAAGTGCTCTGGAAGGCAAGCTGCCGTCCCTGGCCAGGCCTGGCCCTGATATAGGTTGAGAAGGTCAGCACCAAAGTGGGGCCTGGCACTCCCGCCCTCCCTCCCTCCGGCCAGCATGAGGACGCCCTCTGCTCTGGCCGCCAGACGGACTGTGGCTGCCTGGGCAGAGGGTCAGATGGCTGGGTGCAGCAAGATAGCCCAAAGGCCCTCGGATGGGTGGGGCCGGCAACAGGAACCGACCCCACCCAGGGAACCAGTGAGGGTGGGGGTTTTCCACAGGAGGGTGGCTCTCCAGCCCAGCCAAGCCTTGCGAAATGCCCCCTTCTGACAGCTCAGGGAAGAGCCACACGGGGTGTGGCCCAGGGCAGCCAGCTTCTGGGTGGGCAAGGAAGCCCCAGAGCAGCCAGTGCTGTGCAGGACCCTGGAAGGAGAGCAGAGGTAGGAGCGTATGGGCTTCCTGCCATAAACAATACCACAAACTGGGGGCCTCCAGGGGGTCTGCAGTCCAAGACTGAGGCCCCAGCAGGCTGGGGTTCCCACTGAGCTTGGGTGTTCCTCCTGTGGCCCAGGCTGCCTTTGCCTTGTGGCCGAACTGCGTCCTCATCATGGCTTCTCTCTGCTCTCTCCTTCCTCTGCCTGCCCCTGAGGATGCTGGCACTGAACTGAGAACAATCTCATCTGAAATCCCAACTTAGACACATCTGCACAGACTTTTTCTCTACTAAGGCCACCTGTGTAGGTTCCAGGGCTCAGGATGTGTTGCTGTCTTCAGGGGCCCCTCCTGTGTCCTGCAAGGGGCTGCTAACAAGGCTCTGAAGGTCAGCAGGGTATGAGGCCCGCGTGGCTGGAAGCTGGGGTCAGAGCCCCTCAAACATGCCTGCCACCTTCTGCCCCTCGCCCCTGCCCAGCTTCCTCCATTGCGCCTCAGCCCAGACCTTGGCCCTTTTACCACCCACCTAAAGCTCCTGTTTACCTGGGGCTCCACTGGGCTGCAGTTGCCAGTTAACAGTTGCTGAGGGACAGTTGCCAGGCCACCACTGTTGTATCCCAGCAGAGGGCTCCTGAGACCTCTTGGGAAGGTAAGAGGAAGTTGCAGGCCACCAGCAGGGTCCTGGCCAGGGCTGAGGCTAGGCCCTGCCCTCCTGTGGCCCCCTGGGGACCCAGGAGTCAAGGAAGGGAGCAGGGACTGGAGAGAGACCAGGTGGCTTGGCTGGGCTAAGTCTTCTCCCCCCAGGCTGCCCTCAGCCCAGACACCCTAGGTGAGCTTGGGCAGGGCTGGGCATCCTTAGGACGAGTCCTCCACCCACAGCCCGTTTGTCTCCCCAAAGGGCCCCTGTGGGAGCTCCTGCAACAAGGTGCTGACATGTGTTTCTCTTCTTGAACATTTTCTTCGGGTTTAACAGCATCTGTCTGTCGAGCCAGAGTGATTTCCCACCAGTCTTTAATCTGAGCAGGTAAAAAGAACACTTTAAATTTGTTATCAGTTTGTGAGCCCTCCTGACCCTCACCCATCTTCACTCCATGTTTGCGAAATGTCCCACCAAAACCATCCAGAACCACCCCCCTGCTCTGTGGACTGATCACTTCCTGGTCCCACCCTTAGAAACAGCAATTGACCAACCTCCGATGTGAAACTCACTTCTGGATTTAGAGTCGCGTCCTTCAGAGAGACCCTGGACTTGCAGCTGCCAGAGGATGCCACCTGGGCGCTGGCAGCATTCCAGCTCTCCCGACACTGTGCACCGGACCCCGTGTTCCGCACACAGCTGCCAGGGCTCTTTAAAAAGTCTTTGTCCATCTGAATGACAAGAAATGATAATAACTCATGGCTTATTTAATTCTTTGTGAAAATAACAAGCATCAGAGTTAGAAAAGTCAGCCTTATAATGAAGAACAGTGAACCCACACAACCCTTCAGGACATTTCTTAGCTGTGGCAACAGAGGTGGTGCCGAGAGAGTAGGACAGGGCTGCCCTTTTTCTCTACCCTCATTTGACTTTTCTAACTACCCCACTTTCTGAACCATGCCTGAAGCGGCCGTTACTTCAGGGGTGACAAGGACACTGGCTCCTGCCCACCTGCGAGTGCCCAGAGCTCGCAAAGAGCCCCTAGTCCAGCAGCTTCCCCAAGCCTCATGCCCGGAGATGTATTCCTGAGCAGGTTGCACCTTGCTCTGCGTGTTGCTCTCCAGAACCGTCCCCGTGCCCAGGCTGTTCCAGGCTTGGTCTGATGAGCACTTGATGGGTCGCAGGCACCACCCTGAGGTTCTGGGTAGAAATTCCGTCTGTCACCCTTCCCGCCCGGTGTGCAGGAGAGGAAATTGAGGCACAGAGACTCGAGGCAGCAGTGACAGCCCTCCTCCTCCTGGTCCTTCCCTCTGGGAGGCGTCCTTCCCCACCTCGGCCTGGCTGAGCATGCAGATGAGGAGCTCCACACCAGCCCCGCGCCCTCCCTGAAGGCTGGGGGCTCTGCACAGATGCCTGGCCCTGGTGGGTCTGTGGTTGGGACTCTTCCCTCAGGCTCTGTCCCCTCGGTCATTTCCTGGACTGCTTGATGTCCACACTCCTTCCTGTTCTGAAGGTACCCGGCTCCTGGGCAGTGGCCTAGTGTCTCCCCCACCCCAGCAGGCGCTCAGGCTGAGGTGGCTCCTGCAGCACTGCCCCTTCCTCTTCCGCTGTCTGTGCCTCACTCTCACGTGCATCCTTGGGAGGCCTCCCGAGGGGCCCTCTGGGGCTGGGGTCACTTGGGCTGGGACAGAGGTGAATGTCAGGGCTCCTCCGGCCGCCACCAGGCGCTGGGAACCCCGGGCTGGGGCCGAGCCTGCAGGAACCTGACTGCAGCCTCCTGCACATGCACGCACAGCTCTCCCCATCCTCCCCAGGAGCACCCGCAGCCCTTCCCTGGAGCTGGGTGCTCCCCCTGCGCGAGGCGATGGCCACACCCGGCCCTTGCCTGTGCACCGCCCCTGCCTTCCTCTTTCTCCATCTCTGGGTCTGCACTTTCCTGCCCTCCCGTCCCTCCAGGGCCGGGGGCAGACGCAAAGCCTGCCTGGCTGCCGGTCACAGGGCCACTGTCCCCGCTGGCCCCGCTTGGCTGCCCAGCTGGTCTGGCACAGAGCAGTTTTCCTCTTTGGAGATGACCTGCTCCACCACCCAGGGCACCCCCCTCGGCGCTCCCTTCCCAGACGCAGGGCTCGGCCCTCTGTCCTGCTCAAGCCACCACGCTTGTGTGTATCCCATAAGGCCTTCAGAAAGCCCCTGCCTTCCTAAGAGCCCAGAACGGGATTTGTTTTTACCCTAAGTAGAATGACTTGTCCAGGAACGGGCTAAATGGTCTCTGAAACTGAAGCCGGGTGTGGTGCACACGCCTGTGATCTCAGAACTCAGGGGATGGAAACTTCCAGCCCAGTTTGGACAATTTAGCAACTTAGTGAGACCCTGTGTCAACATTTTTTTAAAAAGGGATGGGGATGTAACTCTGCATGAAGGCCCTAGGTTTAGTCGCCAGTACTGAGGAAACACAGACACATACACACTTGCTGAGACAGTCCAAAGTTGGCAACGCAGGGAAAGGCGGACAGAGTGAAAGCCGGGCCCCGGGGAGGGGCTGTGCGGCCAGCATCCTGGCTCGGCTTCCGGGCTGCAGTGCAGACCAGAGGCCTGTTGCCGGGCCGGGAGCCTCTCTGGCCCCTCCAGCCCAGAAGCTCTAGCACGCCTGATGGCCACCTCCTTAGAGCCAGCACCGGGGCAGTGCTGGGCAAGGCCAGGACAGTGCCAGCAGCACAGGCCTCGCCTGGCAGGGCAGGATGCAGATGGCCTCGACCGCTCAGGCTGACAGGCCCCACAGCCGTGGCCAAGATAGGAGCCAGCTTCAGGTGGAAGCCACAGCCCGGGACAGGAGGAAGCAGCCCTCCCTGGGTGGGGTGGGCCTAACCCTGTGCCCCATCCAAGAGCAGGGGCCTCGGGCTGCCCAAAGGCCCCACGGGAGGGTGGGGGCAGCATTTGCCCCAAGGCCCCCCTGCCACAGGGCCCCCAAGCCGTTGGCTCAAAGCCGCGTCCTGTTTGTCCGCCACTGGGGTCAGCACACGCAGACCACATCTGCTGCAGAGGACCTACATGGTCCAGGAGCCAACGGTGCCAGGCCCGGGTGCCAGGTGAATGCGCAACAGCCTGGGGTAGCCCTGCCCTCGCCCAGCCAGGGCCCCAGGGACAGGCCCCAGCCAGGGCAGGTGATCTCAGGGCAGGGCCTGGGCCCTCGGGGACTATGGCGGGCTGTGCCGACGGGCAGAGGGGACAGCTCCCCTCTCCCAGGTCGGTGGGCTCTGCCCCCCTGGACCACTCCACCCTCACCAGGGTGGCCCCTCATCTCCCCTGGCTGACAATGGCCCCTGGGTCACCAATGATGTCACTGTGGACATTGTGACCCCTGCCCCAGGGGACTCCCTACAGCCCTGCTCTGCCCAGGCCTTGAAGCCAGGCCTGCCCTGCAAGGAGCTTCGGCCCTGTGGGTAAGGAGGATGGGGCAGGTCTGCCTTCAGGACCTTGCACCCTGTCCATTCCCCCTGGATCCTGCCCACCTGAGGGGTGCCCTTGTAGGGTGGTAGGTAGCTGTCCCCCTCAGGTGTGACGGCCCACGGCCCCTTGGCCAGGTCTGTGCTGGGCTGTGGTGGGGCCCAGAGGAGCTAAGTGACAGCTCAGGAGCTGCTGAAATGGGCTGGCCTCAGGCTGAAGCGCCTTGCCCCACGGTCCCCAGGCTGGATCCATGAGAGACGTATGGGCAGCAGTGGCATGGAGCAGCTGAGCCAGCTGGAGTCAGATGCAGGTGGGCTGCTGAACCCAGAAGGGGGCAAGGAAAACCCCATGGGGCCAGGAGTCTGAGGCTCTGAATCCCCCACCTCCGCCTGACCACAGACCTCCTGGACGGTGCAGATGCTGCCAGGTCCCCAGCCCCCCTCCTGGAAGAGTTCCTACGGGACAGGGACAAGCAGTCAACCAGCAATGGGCAGGGTCCCTTCTTCTACATTGGTGGCAGCAATGGGGCTTCCATGGGAGTGGGGCCCACGGGCCCCAGGCCTGCTCTAGCGGCTGCCTGCCGTCCTCTCCCTCTTCCCTATGGCCGTGGCTCACTGCTGGCCTTCCCACAGCATCAGCACCTACTGCAGGAGCAAGGGCTGGCAGCGCACCCAGGACAGCCGGCGGGAGGACTACAGGCTGAAGTGGTGTGGGATCAAGTGCCGAGAGAGCTACCACAGCTTCCGGGAAGGTGATCTCAGGTTGGGCACACTCTTGGGCGCGGCCTGCCGGGCCTAGGTGCCACCTGCACCATCCTTGCCCTCCTCCCATCAGGCCAGCAGCTGTTATTCCAGCTTCCCAACAACAAGCTGCTCACAACCAAGACTGGGCTGCTTAGTGCCCTACGGGAGCACGAAAGGACCCTGGGCGAGGTGACCCGGATGCCACTGGCTGCCCAGGCCAGGTAAGCTCCTCTCTACCCACCACCTGCCTCTGCCTACCTGTTCCTGAAAGACTCCCAGCCTTAAAAACACTGCCCCCAAAAAACCAGTGCCCCGTCTGCCTCTACCCCAATGCCTGCCACATCCACCCGACGCAGCCCTTGGGTCCTCCAGTCGCCTCTCCCCAACACACAACCCCAGCCACCCAGGGACTCAGTCTTTCCCCTGCCAGGAGCCCACTTGCCCCTCCACCCCCTGGCACCCACCCGTCTGCACGTACAGCCATCTACTTCCCACCCACTCCTATGGGCTACACGGACTGGGGCCCCAAAGGCCTCCCTCTGTCCAGCGGACCCCGCCTACACACCTACTACCCCCAAACCGCCATCCATTCTCTAAGCACAGGAGGTGGCCACACGGCCCAGGTGCCGTGTCCCCCGGGGTGCACATTTGGGCCAGAGAGGTAGAAGCACTGATCCCAGCTGGGGGGCGCTGCTCTGACCTGAAGTGAAGTGTGACCTGGTGCTGGGAGAAGGGATGAAGGCCAAGCCACAGGGAAGCAGGCGCCTAGCCAGACGCTTCGCCAGGACACTCGGACCTGTGCTGACCCCCTGCTGCACACCACACCATCCCAACCCCGGGACCCTCTGAACAGAGGGCTCCAAGAAGAGGGCCAGGCTGGCCAGACAGTGCCTGGGAGGCAGGAGTGTGAGCAGCCCCAGTGCTCCGGCAGAGGCAGCACCTTGGGGGTGGGGGTGCCAAGCAGGAAGCTGGGCCCAGGCGACCCCAACAAGCCCAGGTAGAAGACAGTCTCTCCGGATCCTCCCCACCTCCCTGGCCTCCTAGGGTGCTGCAAATGGAAGACTTTTTCCCCGAGACCTACCGCCTGGACCTCAGTGATGAGCGGCAGGCTTTCTTCACCCTGTTTGATGGTCAGCAGCTCGGCTGGACCCGGGCAGGGCAGGGCAGGGCAGGGCAGGTCCTGGCCAGGATGTGGTCCTGGAAGTCAGTGCGGAAAGTGAGGCTGGGGGGTCGCAGGGGCTTGGCCCTTGGTCCAGGTGGAGCTGGGGTAGAGGCAGGAGCACATTCAGGTGGCCAGGTCCAGGTGAGGCAAGGGCTGTGACCAGGGCCAGGGTAGGGGGGTCAGAGTGGGGAGGGCTGTGGGTGGGGAGCAGGAAGAGTCAAGTCCAGGCCTCCGTGAGGCTCCTGGGAGCAGGGGTGTGGTGTGTGGTAGGGCGGCCAGCGATGGGCGAGGCCAGGGTGGAGTGGGGCCAGAGGTGAGGTCCTGGACAAGGTGGCCCGGACAGTCCAGTCCAGGGATAACCCACCCCAGGAGGCCACGGATGGGTTGGGCCAGGGAACGCCAGGGTGTGGTCGGGGGAGGCCGTGGCAGAGACCGTGGGGGCAGAGGTGAGGCCGAGGTGGGGCGGGGCCAAAGGCTCAGCGAGGGTGCTCCCTGCAGAAACCCAGCCGTGGATCTGCAAGCCCACAGCCTCCAACCAGGGCAAGGGCATCTTTCTGATCAGGAGCCAGGAGGACCTCACCGCTCTGCAGGCCAAGATACACAGCTCGGAGGACGGTGCCCTTCACTGCAAGATGTCCTTCGGGGGCCCTCAGGCACGGGTGGTGCAGAGGTGTGGGCAGCTTGAAGAGCCTGGCCTGGGCAGAGATCCGGGTAGCCGGCAGTGCTGCAGGGGATCCTCCAGCCGCCCACAGCTGGGCCCTGGGGCTGCAGAAGGGGAGGTGTCACGTCTTCGCCCCTAGACACAGGCTTGTGGGGAGGACTTCATCAGTTTGCTCCTCTGACCCTCTATAGCAGCTACCCCACTGCTCCCCAGCCCAGCCAGCCAGCTGCAGCTTTCAGGTCTGCAGCCAGAGCTGACAGGGCCCCTTGGCCTCAAGGCAGGGTCTAGACCCTCAGCCTCACTTGGGGCTAGGATGGGGTGGGACCCAGGGTGGACCTCACTCTGGCCATATTCCTCCCTCCCATCAGGTCTTCCCAAGCCGCAGCTCCTTGTCCCCAGTCCTGAGGGCCCCCTGGACTTGTTCTCTCCCTTCTTCTCCAATGCCACCACCCCACCACCACCCCCCGCCCGCCTCCTCCCGGCAGCCCTCTCTGCCCCTGGGCCCTACCTGCACCCACCCCTCCAGGCTCAGGGTGAGGGTCACACCCAGGCTGGCCCAGACACCTACAGTGAACTCGGATCTAGCACCAGGCCCTTCTTCCCAACTCCCCGGGCTTGTTCAGGCTCAGAAAGGGGGTGCAGAGCGGTGGGAGGGGCTGCAGCCTCTGTGGCGCTCCAGGTACATCCAGAACCCACTGCTGCTGAATGGAAAGAAGTTTAACGTGCGTTCCTACCTGCTCATCGCCTGTGCTGTGCCCTACATGGTCTTCTTTGGCCACGGCTATGCTCACCTCACCCTCAGCCTCTACAACCCCCACTCCAGTGACCTCAGCAGCCATTTGACCAACCAGGTAGGAAGCCTTCCTGGGCCAGGGCTTATCTGCAGGGTGGGATGAGACCAGACATGGTCTCACTGCCTGGGGACACAGAGGTCAGTCCAGCTGTAGATGTAGCCCTAGCCCAAGGAGGCCCAGCCTTTAAGAAGCCATGACAGGGACCCAGATGTCCTGTAGCCCCCAGCCTGGATCCCACCCAATGTGCTGAGGAAGGGCTCCCATGGGATAGACCAGGTCAGGGGCCCTGTGAGAGTCTGGGGGCTTTTAGTTGTGGGGTCTCAGGCTGAAGGTGTTTGCAGGAGGATCTCCCAGCAGGGCTCTCTTCTCTCCCAGTTCATGCAGAAGCAGAGCCCCCTGTACATGTCGCTGAAGGAGGACACAGTGTGGAGCATGGACCATCTCAACTGCTACATCAACGACAAGTTCCAGAGGACCAAGGGCCTCCCCCAGGACTGGGTCTTTACCACCTTCACGGTCTGTCCCTCCTGTGCCCAGCCAGCCCCAGGGGCAGGGTGGGGACACTCAGGCTGGGACTCATGGGTCAGGATCTGTGTGTCCATCTGGGCCGGGTTGGAGACCAGACTTGTGTGTGTCCTTTGAGTGTATGTACAGCTGCACTGAAGCTAGGTCTCTGTATATGTGGTTTTTGTTTTGTTTTGTGGTGCTGGGAATAGAACCAGGGTCTCACACGCCTTAGAAAAGCATCTGACCACTGAGCCATGTCCCCAGCATGTGTGTTCTGAACGACATTTTTTCCTTGAGGTTAATGAGCGGGTAGCCACCAGCTGTCTGGACAGAGGAGCCCCAGCACGGGGAGAGGGGGTTCACCTGAAAGGGTCCCTCGAGTACAGCCTCACCACCTACAACACAAGTTCGAACATTCGGGAGTTTTGTTTTTGTTTTGGTACCGGGGATCGAACTTGGGACCTTGTGCTTGTGAGGCAGGCGCCGGAACCACTGAGCTAAATCCCTGGCCCCCAATTCGGGAGTTTTTATAACTCACTAACCTTCTAGCTGGGCAGGTTAGCCAGGGGAACCAGAGAGCAGTCCTCCAGATACAACAAGACAGGGCCTCCTTGTTTGAGGGTCATCTGGGGTGGGTGTCCTCACTTCTCAGGGACGTTTTCTACTGGCAGCCAAACCACTGGGAATTGAGGTGGGACAGAGTGTGGCTGTGCTCATGGAAGTCAGCCCCTCTGAATGTCTCCAACACCCAATAATCTACACCATAAAATTCACCATTTTGAAGCATACGGTTCAGTGGTTTCTAGTGGCTTCACAAAGCTGTGCAATTATGACTCTGAGTGAGGGGAGTGTAGGCAGGCGTACCCAAGCAGGTGAGGGTACAGGTGACAGGGGTGACTGATGTCCAGGCCTGGGAGGTGTCACCAGGGCCCCACCCGCCTCACCCACAGAAGCGGATGCAGCAGATAATGGCCCACTGCCTCCTGGCAGTCAAGTCCAAGCTGGAGTGCAAGCTGGGTTACTTCGACCTCATTGGCTGTGACTTCTTGATCGATGAGAACTTCAAGGTGCTGTCCTGGGAGGGGGGTTGCGTGGGCAGCGGGCCATCTGTACCCCGACCGCAGAAGCAGAGCCCTGCCTGCCCGTGAGGCCCCCACTGCAGCCGAATCTGGGGAGGGTCCACACACCCTTCCTCCAGGCTGTAGCGGACTGGGGGAGGAGGCCATGGCAACACAAGGCTTGACGGAGACGGGCCCCAGCCGCCAGCGCGAGCTGGACTGTGAAGGGGTGGGGCGGGGCACTGACCAGGGTTCCCGTAGGTGTGGCTGCTGGAGATGAACTCCAACCCCGCCCTGCACACGAACTGTGACGTCCTGAAGAAGGTGATCCCCAGCGTGGTCATGGAGACCCTGGTTGAGCCCGCACCTTCCCGCCTGCGCGTGCGTGGGCCTGCCCCTTCCACCCCCATGGGGCGGGCTCTCCCCGCCCCGGGCCCCGCCCGCTCCGAGGCCGACTCACTCCCCTCCTCCAGACCTGGCGCTCGAAACTTCCCAGAAGAGCCTGCGAGGCCAGAAGATGCTGCCCCTGCGCTCGCAGCGCCGCTTCGCGCTTCTGCACAACGGCGAGAAGGACCTTCAACCGCGCCTGCGCCCGTGCCCCGAGGCTGCGCGCGCCCGGCCCCTCCCTGGCCCCGCCCCCGGCCGCCAGGTCCCGCCCCCGCGGATCCGCCTGCGGAGCGGAGAGCCGCAGGCTACCGGGGCTTCTAGCGGGCCGCGTCTCCCGATCCATAAAGGCTCTTTGCGACAAGGCGTCCTCGGCAACGTCCCGGGGCCCCGGGCTTCCCCTCCGCCCACCACCGTCCTTAGGGGGCAGAAGAGCGAGGGAGGTTGGGCTAGCCCCTGGGGTCCCAGGCGCCCCGCCCCATGTCCTCGGCCTCTCCGCCCCAGGATCTGCTCGGCCTCTCGCGAGGATCCCCTCTCGCGAGGGGCCCCTCGCCATCGCTCCTCAGTGCGCGGGGCTCACTCCACCCTGCCCAGCCCAGCAGACAGGGCCTCTCTCCCGACCAGGGTCGCTTTCCCGCGAACCTTGGTGCCTGAGCGGCACAGTGAGGACAGAATGGTCCCTGGAAGGCGTTGAGCTCCCAGGCAGAACCTTGCCAGGCCCCTAAGTGTCCAGGGCTCCACCAGTGATCCTGTCACACCCCCGCCCCTTCATTGCCCCTGCCCTGGCTTCCAGATGCACACCCCAGCGTGTGCGCTTTCTCCAAGCCAGGGCCAAGTGGAAAACTCCCCCTGCCCTGCCCGCCCTTCCACTAGCCCAGGACGTCAGAGCCAATCCGTCCCAGCGGAGAGGAGCTGGAGGACCCCATCCCGCTCTTGAGACAGGGAGGCGTCATTTCCAGCATGCGACAGTCTGGCACCAGGAGAGGGCGCCATCCACCGCGGTGTCTAGTGGCACACACGGCACGGACAGAGGGAACTGGGGCCCAGACCCAGGGATCCCAGAGCCTCTGGGTGGGCCATGGGCACCCCACACACAGCCCTCCCAGACAGTCCTGTTGCCTGCCTGGGAGCCCACCAAGGCAGGGAGGGGTAGAGACCAGCCTCTGGGGCTGGGGCACCACACCCACCTCTGGGATAAGGGTCACCCTGCTGTCCTCACCCAGGGCTGCTGCTCAGCCATGTCACCTCGGGGTCACCCTTACCCTCTCTGCTTTTGCCACCCTGAGACCGCAGGCCTCTGTGCTGCACAGGCCTATGGCTCCTCTCTCGGTGTCCCTCTGGGTCAGCAACACTGTGGCCCAGGATCCCAGCTCTCCGCACGGGCCACGTGGGGCTCTGGCTTCCAGTTCATGGGCATCGAGATGTCAGCAGGAGTGATCAGGCTTTGTCTGCTGCTCTGGGGACAGGGAGCCTCCGCCACAAGATGTGACAAGAAGTCCCCGATGGCAGTGGCCTGCCCTGTGCTTTGGAGACCCCGCCCAGCCCAGGACCCCCCAGACCTGAACTGTGTCTGCTGTGCCCACATTCCTGTCACCCCCAGGAACTGAAATGTCAATAAAGTTTCCCAGAGATCCTCTACACTTATTTACCCGCATCCCGACCCCTTCCAGGTGGTCCTTGGTCCCCTCAGCCCCCGTGTAGGCTCCAGGGTCCCCTGAGCTCCAGATGGCATGGAGCCAGGGAGGGGCAGGCTTGGGGGTCTCCGGGCACTTGGCAGATGCAGGATGTCCTCCAACATTCGCTCAAGTGACTAGGTGGGGCTAAGGAGCGGCAGCAGCAGCAGAGCTAGGCTGGCCTCATGGGGCACTCAAGGTGGAAGGGCTCCTGTGGCTGTTGTTGACTCTCTCCTCATCGCCCTCTCATTCCATTGTCCCCTAGCCTCCTCTCCCTCTGCCCCTCACCCTTTTCCAGGGTTGAATCCAGAGGTCCTCCTGGTGGGCAGGAGATTCAAGTGGTGTCCTCCACTAGTAGTAGGGACAGGGTCAGGCTGCCCCCAGCTCTGAGCAGGCATGCCTCCTCCCATCCCTGCAGTCTCTGTCTTAGAGTCGAGCAGCAGAAAGAATGCCCCCCAGCCCACCTGAGCTGCCTTCTCTGGAGAGGCCCCCTCCCTGGAGCCCCTGGGAAGATGAGATCTGCCACGTGCCCAGCCCACAGAGCTGCTTCCCCTGGGGTCCAGTTAGCCAAAGAGCAGCCCCTCAGGAGTGAGTCCCTGCTCTGTCCTCAGAGCCTGGTGGGTGGAGGGGACAGGAGTGACAGCTGTCACCAGGTCAGGGGAACACATCCCAACAGCTGAGGCCGAGGGAGCTACCTGCCCTCAAGGGTTCTCTGCAGGTGCCCTGAAACTGGAGCGGGGGTGTCCGGTTCCGTCTGGGAAGGGTCCCCCCCCCCCCCGCAGGCCCCAAGTCATAGTATGAAGAGAGGGATCCTTTGCAGTCAGATGAAGGCGGAGGCTGGGTGGGCAGAAACACTTCTGGGAACACAGGTGGCCTCTAGGGCCCTTATCTCAGGCTGAACACAGATGGGGTGGGGGAGGCTTGTGGCTTCCGGAAGAGATGGAAAACCACTCCTGGGGATTGTGGTGGGGGTTCCCAGGGGCTGCCATGAGACCCTGAGCTGGCCAGGGCTGGCCAGAGTCCCACCACCGCATCCCCAACTGCCGTGTCCCCAGCAGTGCCCCAACAGCCAGGATCTGCAGGATAGCGCAGGCTGCTCCTCCGGAAGTGGCGGCTCTGACAGGTCTCTGCAGAGGCAGCAGCACCTTCCTCACTCTGGCACCCCTGGGTTGCACCCCTGGGAGCTCCCCCCTTCGCCCCAACTGCTCTCCAGCCCAGCCTTTGCCTCAGGGCCCTGCAGACCCCGCTGAGGGCTCAGCGGTTGGCCCTGCCTAGCTAGCAAGCCAGGGGACCCATGGGGTGGGGCCTGGGCAGGCCCGAGGCACAGAAGCGCCAGGCTGCCTGTGGAATTCCCCACCAGCTCTGGTCACCGCTGCCCCATGCTGACGTCCTGAGGAGTTTCCAGCCACGTCACCCCGGCCTCGGTGCTTTCTGGGGTGCCCCTGTGGTATCCTGTGGGGATTAGCTGGGTCGAGCCTTCCGGCCAGCAATGTTGCCTGTGCAGGCCTGACTCCTCAGCCCCACAATGGGGGGCTCCATGGCAGCTCCAGAGCATTTGCCAAGTGCATGTCCACTGTCCAGCACATGTCCAGGCATCCCTTGTGGCCGTTGGGGTCCTTGTGTTCTGGGTCCTGATATTCTCCACCCCCTTCAGACTGGATGAGCCTCCTCCTTTCTCCCATGAGCCTCTGTGCCTTGGGGGGGGGCTATGACTGCCCCCCCCAACAGTGGAGATTCCCCCCTCATCTGCCTACTGCAGGCTGGGCCACCACTGTCCGTGTCATCGGGAGCTGATGGGGGTGAGGGCAGGTGAGATGGGGGGAGGGCCAGGCATACGGATTCCTCAAGGGTGCTGCTGAGGCTGGTCCCCACTGGCCTGCTGCTTCCTGAACAGCTGCACCAAGATCTTGCTATCAGATCTCTCTAGGAGCACCTGGGCTGTGTGGGACTTAGAGTGGAGTCCCAGAGAGCTGGATGGGGAGGAGTGGGCTTGGGGGCCACTTTGCACCAGTGAGTGCTGGGGTAGACACCAGCCAGGCCCCGGGCTGAAGGCAGAGCGGAGCAGGGTGGGTCTCCTGGGAACAGCCAGAAACCAGTCTTTATGGGCATGCAAAGGGGCAGTGGACACAGCTGTCCAGCACAGGCAGACAGGCTGGGGGTAGGTAACAAGCCAAGTGGGCAGGCATCCAGCATGGACCCCTGCTCCAGGCGGCTCCCTGAGCCCATGGCCCCTGCCAAGTGCTTCCGCCCAGGCCTGGAACCCTTCGTATCCTAGGGAGGGGACCTGGGCTCAGATGGACAAGGTCCCTTCCTTACTTCCTGCCCTTCCTCCTGCCCCCATACATGTCCACTCAGTTACTGCACAAGTGTTTATTGAGAACAGGACTGCAGCCAGGTCTGGCCCTAGGCACTGCAGCCCAGAGGGCCGTAGACTGTTGAGGGAGGAGGTAGCTGTGGCACCTGTCTCTCACAGGGCCCCGACATGTCCACCCCCCTTCTGTGTGGCTGGGGTCTCAACACCGGACCCATCCTCCACCCACTTCCACCGTCGCAGGGAGCAGGGCCAGGCCCAGAGCAGAGCCCTTGCTCCAGGTCAGTCTGGGCGAGCTCCAGAGGGTCCAGCTCAGGTGCAGCTGCTCCTGGGGACAGCCAGGCCTCATACCCACTGGTCCCCCAGCCGGCCCTTCTGCAGGCGCTCCCCCCGCTCCTCCTCAGGGAACTGGCAGCTGCAGGTGTCCTCGGCAGGTGGTGGCAGCATCTCCAGGAGTGGCTGGGTCTCTGCAGGGGGCTGTGGTCAGCAGGCACCCTGAGGCCCACCTCCCACTTTCCCAGGACACAACTGACCTCGGGGCCACATGGGCTGCCGCCTCAGCTGCCAGGTGTGCAAGGTCAGCTGGACAGTGGTCAGGACGAGGATGCAGGCGGCCACGGCAAGGAGGACGGTGGTCAGCCAGCTGTGCTGCTCTGCGGGCGGCGGCCCCGGGAGGCACACTGCGTTGTGGGTCTTGTTTCCGGGGAACATGGTGAGAAACCCAAACTGGCTACAGCTGGGACACACAGACAGAGCTCGTCACCCTGGGCTGCGGGAGCAGCCCCGTGGGAGGGGCAGGAGAGGCTGCCTGGCGTGGGATGGGGCTGCCTGGCCGCACCCGCTTGGGACTCACTCTGCCCAAGGTCTGCAGCGGCCCTGGTGGTCCTGGGAGAAGGTCCCCGCAGCGCAGCTGACACACGTGAAGCCATACTTGAGCTGCCCTGGGGACAGACAGGCCAGGGGTGCCAGGGTGAGTGAGGGGGTCTGGCCTCACAGGTGGTCGTCCACCGTGCAGTCCCCGCAGACTCAGCATCCAGCAGTGCCCAGCCCGGGGCGGGCACCATCCACCCATCCACGCCAATGGACGGGGAAAGGGGCAGGGCCTGCACTGCGGAGTGGGGTCTGAGAGCAGCAGGCCCTGCCCCTTCCCCCTCACTTCTAAGCCAGGAAAGTCCAGGGTAAGAGAGGGAAAGGCTCCCCCAAAGCTGAACAGCCACCGGCACCTGAGGGCACCCCAAGGATACTGAGGCCCCCGACATCTGGCTCCTGGCACGCTGGCTGGGCCCCGAGTCCGCCCCTGGCCCGCGGGGTCCACTCCGAGGCCCTCACCTTCAGGCTGTGCCTCTGTGCCTGGTGGGCAGGGGTGGTATTTGCAGGTCTGGCACTCAGGGTCACCACAGTGGTACTCTGGCTGGATACACTCACAGTCCCTCACAGCATGGGCCTTGCCTGGGTGGGGACAGTCCAGATGCTCAGCAGCTGGGCAAGCCCCGCCCTCTCCAGGAGGCCCTGTGGCCTTGGTGCAGCTCCCTGCACTCTGGCCTGGCTAACCCTGCTGCTCTCAGCTGCTCCCAGGGTGGGTGTGATATCACACAGACCTGCTGAACAGAGCCCTCACCAGGGGCTTCCTGGGAACCCTGGATCTGGGGCCCACAAGCCCTTTGACTCCTGTATGAGGCCCCTCCCAGGCCCCAGGGACACCTCAGAGGCTCTGCACAGCTGGGGCCACCCGTCCCCACTGTCGGTGGCAGAGGGCAGTTTCCTGTGATCTTCCTCTGCAAATGACCCCGTCACCTGTGGCTGCAGGTCAGAGGCAGTGGGCAGGGCCAAAGGGGTGCTGGGACCCTAAGCTGGGCAGGAAGTGGCCCGTGAAGCAAGCCCCAGACCCCACTTGGGGAGGCCCCTCCCTGCCCTCCTGCCAGGCTCCCAGGCCCCTGGCCCAGCGGTACTTCTGCCTCCCTCTGGGATCCCACTTTCGCCCTAGCCAGCACCACCCAGTGCTCACCCTCCGGGGCCACCATAGGCCCACCCATCCCCGGCTCACCTGGGGTACTGAGGCTGCAGCACCTCGAGTTGGTCCCTGTCCCGTTCAGGAAGCGGCCTGAGCCACAGGGTCCCTTGGCAAGGAGCTGACCAAGGCTGAGCGTGCAGAGCAGCACGACCCGGCACAGGGCCGCCAGCAGCCCCATGGCACCTGGGTCAGGCTTGCGCTGGCGTTTAGCAGTCTGGACCTGCTTTGACACGCCCAAACCTCACCCTGAGACCCGCCTCCAAGCCACCACCAGGCACTCCACCTCTAGCTTCCTGGGGGTGTCCCTCAAGGCTTTTAAAGGCCTTCTGGGCAGGAAGGGTGGGATGAAGCCATTCCTCCTTCAGTCTCCAGCCCCTCAGCCTCACCCGCTGCTACAGAATGGGGACAGCCCCTCCCCCGCCCCTCAGCCTTCGGGCTGAGGATGCAAAGTGCGCCCTCACACACACCTTCCAGGCCCCGGGCGTGGCTCCCAGTCCAGCATCTCAGCTCTGGCCGGGCCCCTGCCCCCCTTCTCCAGCCTCTAGGTCTCTCTAAAACTGTTCTGCTGGCTTTGGACACTCTGGACCACTTCTTGGAGCCCAGCAGGGGGTGCTGGATAGACCCAGGATGGCTGCTTCCCTTGGGGGAGGGGGCTTGAGGTTGTTAAAGAAGGGGTTGGTTGGGGCAGGGAGTCAGAGAAAGCCAAAGGCAAGAGAGGTCTGAGCAACCAGGATCAGGGACAGGTTGTCTGGCTACTCCCTGCTAATCTCATACTTTGGACTGCAGCTAACAGGACGTCCCTCACGATGCAAACAGGCCAGTGGCCAAAGGCTCTAAAGGACCCTCACAGTGCAGCTGAGACCATCCAGCAGCCAGATTTTTTTTTTTGTACCAGGGATCAAACTCAGGACCTTGCACTTTCGAGGCAGGCAACGGAAACACTGAGCTAAATCCCCAGCCCTCACCCAGATGTTTTTGTCTTGAGTGTGACAGCTCCTGACAGGACACACATTGAGGACCTGGTCCCATCTGCGGCCTGTGGTTGGCTGGCCTGGTTGGTCCCACACCTGTTGACCACTTCCAAATGGTTAGGTGCCTCCTGCATGGCTTCTGCCAGGCACCCATGTTGACAGGCGCACTCCAGCTCTCAGTCGTTGGCTCCAGGGTCCCCAGACGGCCAAGGGCAGCTCTGGAGCCCTAGGGCTACAGAGTGGAGACCCAGCACCGCCCTTGTCCCTGCAAGCTGCTTGAACGTGCTGCAGTGGATTTGTCCCATCTGCTCTTGGTGGACATCTGGGTTCCTGCCTCAGGACTGCTGTGGACACCTGCGTAAGCCCAAGGCCCAGCTTCTGTAGGGTCACACTGAAGGGCTCAGAGGACTAAGTTTGGTCTAATCGGCCAGGTGTAGTGGAGCATGCCTAGGATCCCAGCACTCAGGAGGTCAAGGCAGGAGGATTACCAAGAGTTTGAGGCCAGCCTGGGCTACACAGTGAGATCAAGGCCATCCTGAACTACAGAGCAAGATCCTGTCCCACAAAACAAAACAAGACAAAACAAAACAAAACAAAAGTTTGGCTCAAGCAGAAGGCTCCTATTTTCCCAAGTGCCTGATTGTTGGAATGCTCCCAGTGTGGAGCCCAGGAGGGGGTCCTGGGCCACCCCTACCAAGTACAGTGGGGTAGGGCTGGGGGATGAAGAGAAAAAAACAGCACTGTTGGCAAGAGGCCGGAAGGGGGCCCCCTGGTGCCTGGGGCACTCAGATCCCTCCCTGTTCTTGTCTCAGGAGCAGAGGCTCTGGATTCTCAAGAGCTGTGCAGTTTGGGCCTGCAGTACATTCACATTGGCACTGTCAGGAGCCTCCCTCCCCACCCCGAACTCAGCGGCCCCCACCTCCACCCTGACCTGAGCCCCAGCCCCAGCTAAGGAGGATGAGGCCAAGTGCAGACCCGAGGATGCCAACGTGTTTACTGGGGCGTTGTCCAGGCGGGTGGTATGTACAACATACACAGAAGCACCGGAGCCAACCCAGCACCTAGAACGGCACAGAGGGGGCAGGCGGGCAGCCTGCACCTGGGTACCCTGCCCTTGAAGTCCCCCACACTGCTCAGATCTTGGCTAGGGCAGAGTGTGCGTTGGCCTGCTCCTCTTGGATGGGCTTCCGGAAGCTTTTTCCCCCTGGGGAGGAGGAGAGTGGGAGGTTGCAGTGGGGTAGGTCACCCTCCCGGAGAGAGGGCAGGCCCACGGCCGCTGCTCACCAGGGAGCTTGGGGGCACCAGGTGGCATCCAAGCCCTTCGGTACAGGTACAGGACCAGCAATACAGCCATGGGGACCAGCAGGCCCAGGCCCAGCACAGCAGCCAGCACCGGGCCTGCAAGGAGGGGCCAGCTGAGTAGGTCCAAGAGGCCAGCAGGCAGCTTCCGGCCCTCTCCGCTCTCCCTCTTCCTGTCCCGAGCAGGCCCTCACCACTGGGGGCCTCTGAGGGTGGCATGAAGGGCACCTGAGAAGTCCAGGCCCAGGCTGCAGTTGGCCTGGCCATGGTGGGCTGGGCCGTGGTGGGCCTGGCCTTGGTGGTCCTAGCCGTGGGACCCTGGGTCTCCCAGGGCATAGTGGCCAGGTGACTCCTGTCCTCACAGATGGCATCCGAACTGCTGCTGCCTTGCTTCAAGGTCTGTTTCCCAGTCGAGGCACAGCTAGGAGTAGAGAAAGATGGTCAGACTGAGACAGTGATGGGGTCCACACTGGTCACCACAGGGAGCCTCAGACTCCATCCAAAGACAGCTGAGGGCCCCAGTTCAGGCCTCAGCTTCCCCTCTATGGCTCACCATATCACCCTAGCCCATGCTGCTCAGCTGGGGCTTGGCACGCCAAACCACCAGGTACTTCTGCCAACCCCCAGAGGAGGCCTAAAGAGGACGAATGGTCTGCAGTGGATGACAGGGCCTGGCACACTCCCAGGGCCAGGACTGGGGTCTCACACACACACCCCTGGCCCTGCTGGTGTCACGTGCACATACGCTGCACCCACAGGGATTTTGGCAAGGCCATTATTGGAGGATGGACCCCAGGAGCTCCCTGACCATCAACTGTCTGGTCCCAGACCTGGCCTAGTGCACAGCCAGGCCCCACACCCAGCTTTGATCTCTCCCAGGTCCCTGAGCCCTCCCAGCACCCCTTTCCCCACTGACACTCACTCAGTCCAGGGCTTGCAGGCCTGGTTGCTGCCCAGGGAGAAATGGCCAGGAGGGCAGGGCTTGCAGTCTGCAGCAGACATGGAACTCTCAGCTGCCTGATGGTGCCCGAGGCCTGGACACCACAGCTGCCGAGGTGGGGCCACAGGGCTGGGTACTCACCCCACGGGGAGTGGAAGGCAGAGGGACTGAGGCTGCAGAGACCCCTGCCTGCCCACACTCGCCCGCTGACCCTGACCAGGGCCCAGTCCTGGCCCAGCCTGCTGCGGCCAGTGGCAGTGTGTGAAGCAAGGACATGGCCAGTTTACACTAAGCCATGGCGAAGAGTCAGGGTCCATGGACACTTGCAGCCCTGTAGACACATGGTGCCCTGCCAGGGCTGCCCTAAGGCTCACCAACTCCATGCTTGAAGCCATCCAAAGGCTGGGTGCCGGGCCTGCAGTGGCAGACGGTGTCCTGGGTGGGTGTACAATTCTGCTTGACTTCGCTCCCACTTCCTGGGGGGCAGATGGGGAATTAGACAGGGCCCAGGAGAGCAAGCTTGCCTCCCATCAGTGCAGGTGCAGTGGGGAGTCCTGAGCTCCCCATTCTCCCCTTGAAAGAGCCCCTCCTGCCCTCTGCCTCTCCTGATCACATGACCCTGGGAATGGCCCCAGCCTCCCTCCACCAGTCTGCTGCCTGCAGCATGAGTCAGGACCCTCAAGGTCCCCACTCTGCCCCCCAGCTCAGGACAGGTCATGTGGCCAGCTCATTCTCCACACAGCTTCCATGTGACCCAGGAGGAGACCCCCTCGGCTGCTCCAGGGACCCAAGGAGGGCAGCCTGCCAAGGTCCGGCCTTGTTTCCAGAGGCTCCTGGAAGGTGGGTTCCCAGTGTCCACACCCTTTCTGGGGGTCTAAGGGTTAGGATGGGGCCGGGGCTCACTCCGGTTGCAGTGCGTGCACGGCTTGCAGCCCTCGTAGTTGACAGCCTCATTGTAGAAACCAGGGTCACAGGGGAGACACACACTGTCCAAGCCGCCTCTGCAGCGCCTCACCATCTTGTTGCCTGTAGCAGACCCGCACCAGATGCAGTGGACCAGGCTGGGCCCAGCCCTGGCCCAGCCCTTCTGGCAGGCCCGAGTCTGCTCACTCCAGGACACTGAACCTGTGTCACAACCACGTCCCCGGCCTGAGGCCCAGCCACTCACCTGGCTGGCAGTCATGACAGCACAAGTAGCCATTGAAGTAGGTGTCCCCAACACAGTTGAGCCCAGCTGTGGCGCCATGCACCAGCCCCAGAAGCAGGAGGGCGCGGGCCCCCACACACATCCTCAGCCGCCTTCACAGGAGTCTGGGGTTTTTCCTTGCAGGATGTGGCTATAAGGGCTCTGGGGGAGGGGCAGGAGGAAGCTGTGCGAGCCTGAGTGCTGTGCTGGCATCTGCACATGCATGTGCCCGTCCCCCACTCACCTGGCTGGGACACGTACACGTGCGTGCCCTCAATGGCTGGGCTGTCTCCTGGAAAACTCTGGCCCCCAGCCACCCAGGGAACAGGGCCATGCTGCGGCCATTGCTAAAACAGCTCAGTCCAGCAAACTCCTAAGGAACAGAAAAATGGGCACCCTTGGGCACTTCCGTCGTTGGCATGGGCCTGGGCAGTCCCATGACCACCTGGCAAGTATGGGGGGCGCACAGGCATCTGAGCAGAGAAGCATCATGCACACAGCAGGCCCACACAGGCCCTGGGACACACAAGACCTCACACTTTCTTACATGCACATCCCTGGTACCATGCTTCCCTGAAGGAACCCCGGGCCGGGGGAGGCTGGGGCCCCCCGTGTCACTTGGTACCTCTTAAACTGTGCCCTGACGAAATCATCTTTCCCCAAGTTAATGGTAATAGTTGCCATAGGGACCTCAGCCCCCTCCCAGGATGAGCAGCAGGGAGAGGCTGGAAATCCCCCACCCCCAGGGGCACAGGTGAGAGCAGAGTCCCTGGCCCACCTAGGGGAAATTCCCATCTGCCATGCTGGCAGGGGGCACAGAGGACACCACCAGGCAGAAGAGCCACACCTCAGCCACTCTCTCCAAGCTCCAGATGGGCAAGAGTCACACGGCAGTGCACACCGCCATCCAGCTCATACCCCGCCATCCACACGACACAGAGAAGCCAAAGGGTCCTCAGGGGGCCTGGGGCCTGGTGTGCAGCCCCCAACCCGAGGCACCCTCCTCCCCAGCCGTCACTCTGGTCCCTGTTGCCCCTGGGACTGCACACCAAGTAGCCAGCATCTCCCCACAGGCAAGCTATGGTGCACTCCAACCCACCCTCCAGGGGTCTGTGGGGCCCAGGCCCATCCTGCGTGACCCAGACGTGTCCACCATCCTGGGGCCCCCAGACTGCAGAGGAGATGGTCCCTGGGGGTGAGGAAGGGTCCCCCAATCTTCTTCAGCACAGCGGGGTGACACGGGGCTCACACAGCCCAGCTGCTGTCCACCCTTGGCTCACCCTTCTGGACCCACGCTGCCCTGGGCCAGCGTCCTGGATGCCAAGACAGCCAGTTGCCGTGAACCCCCTGGCCCAAGGCCACAAGTAAGCAGAGGGGCTGGCAGCAATAGCCAGTAGGGCGGTCTACACCCAAGGCGTGGGCACTGCCTTCCTGCCACCTCACCCAGCTGGGCTCTGAAGTCATTTGTCTAGAAACCAGCCCAGGTGCCAACACAGCCCCAGAGCGGGCAGCTTCCATCACACTGCACAGCAACGGTCCCGTGGGCAGGGTGGGGTCACCCCACAGCTGGAGACAGCAGGTGAGGACAGAATCAGGAGGGCGCAGGCAGTGCTGCAGCAGCAGTCAGGGCCTGGGCACCTGGCATGCAGCAGCAGCGGCCTGCGTGGGTATGCATTTCAGGGCTGGGAAACCCAAGGCAGGGGCCCAGGCCCATGCGATCCCCAAATCCGACTCCACTGGGATCGGCAGGAGCCTCCCCTCACCCCGTGTGACCCCCTTCTGTCCCCTCACAGGCCTCAGGCGGGCCATGGCATCACTTCCACCTCCGGGAGAATCAAAACATTCAGCAAAAACTATAAACCCCTCTGCCACCAAATTGCCCACCTCAAAGGCTTCTAGTGGAAGCCACCTGGCCGCAAAATTTTTTTCACCAGAAGAATACAGCTGTGAGAAAAAGGCGACTGTATTTTAAAGTAAACTAATGATTCTCGTGACAGTTAAGTCTCTTTCTCAGAGACTACAGGCTGAGGAGGACCCCACTCCACGCACCCTGGCCCCGGCCTCAGCCCAGGAAGGAGGAGGCACCTTCCACACTGCCTGGCTACTCATTTCCAGCAAAGTGTGTCTAGTTTCATCTTAATCTTTCACTTTTCAAGGCAACGGCAGGAGCTGTGTGATTTCCCACGGTGGCCGCCCCAAGTTCTGGACCCAGATATGGTCAGCGCCTTCAGCAGAGTTCAGCAGTTCTCAGAAGCAGAAATAGCGCCCAAGGAACAGGAAGACCAAGACATTCACTGCCAGGTGAGCGGGTGGGAGGTGGCCCACAGGGACAGGCACCGCAGAGGGACACAGTTGCTAAGCACAACTTTAATAAACTCCGGCCAAGCCACAGCCTCAGCTGAGCGTGAGCATGTGGTCATGGGCAGCAGCAAAGAGGCTCTGGGACGGGCCTGGGTGCGGGGCAGACACTGGCCCCTGCCACGCCGGACCATGGCCCTTGGGGGAGGGGCTGCAGGGCGGCGGTGCTCAGAACTCCTCGTGCACGTTCCGGGCGTAGTCCACCAGCTTGCTGCCCGTGAAGAACTCGCTGTACTTGAGGATCTCCTCCGGCTCCAGGTGCTGGTTCTGGTTCTCATCGGCAATGGCGATCATCTGCTTGGCCTCATTGAGGGCACTGTACTCGTTCATGGGGTCCATGTAGTTCTGCAGTGGAGCCAGGCACAGTCAGCAGCCCCTCCTAGCACTCCACAAACACACGGCCCAGGGGGCCAGCCTAGCTCTCCCTGCCACTGGGAGAGCGGTCTCAAGACACCACCACCACCACCGTGCCAGGGTGAAGAGCGGCCCTTCCTGCTTCTGGGGAGAGGCGGCCCGGCTCCACACGGTGACCACCCACAGAAGCAGATCTTGCTTTAAAGTGCCACACTGGCTGTAGGCTGGGGCTGTGGACATGGTCTGGAACGTTCTGGAAGGATGAGAAGGATGCCTGCCTGGGCCTACAAGGAGCCCCGAGCACAGAGACTGACTCAACCACGGGGCAGGGAGGCCCAGCTGGCTGCCAAGACCCTGGTACAGGAGAGGCCTCCAACCCCAGCCTCTGACTCCCTGCTGAGGGGTCAGAGGGCACGGTGTAGACCCAAATGACTCACTCAGCAGCGGGAAAAACAACCCCAGGCAGCGCCCACAAAGTTGAGTGGAAACGGTTCAGAGGAAGGGGCGGGTTCCAACCCACGCCCATCCACATGGCAGAGGCTGGCCCTGCCCCAAGGCCCTCCCAGCTGCAGCTACCCCAGTGGCTGTTTAAGAACTGGGCCTCACACATTTTCCTTCTGGTCCCATAAGAACCCCAACACGAGGCTGGGGTGCAGCTCAGTGGTGGAGCACTTGCCTGACACATGTGAGGCCCTGGGTTCCATCCCCAGCACCAAAAAAAACAAGAATTGTGCAGCGCCTCCCACAGGCACTGCTGCCACACAAGACAGAGTGGAAAGCTGCTTTCCAGGCCCAGAGGCCAAGCGCTGGGGATGCAGCCTCACTAGGCTCTTGCCTCCCAGCCCATTGAGCACAAACACACACCCTACACAGCCCTGTGCCCTCCTGGAGCCATGCAGCCAGAGGCTGCCCAGCATGCATCCCAGCAGCTGGCCTCCCCCAGACCCTCAGCACCTGGCAGCCCACCTCTGCGGCCACCCTGCACCAGCACCCTTTCCTCAGCAGCCCTGCTGTGGGTCCAGCTGAAGGTGCAGGGCTGGGCTGTCACCAGAACACAAGCAGGCCCTGTCATGGTTTGTGTCTGGATGGCCCCCACAAAGCCTCAGGCGGACATAGGTGGGGCTTTTCAGAGGTGGGTGGATCTGGAGCATGTGATGCTGCTGGGATCAAGTGTGTGATGCTGGGACTAAGAGTGTGTGACTGGCTTGGCACAGTTCTGGGTGTGGAGAATGTGAAGGCCCACTCTGGGTACGAGTGCTACCCGCCCTAAGGCTGTGGAGCCTGGATTAAGACCTGCTGCTTGCTGACTGCTGCTTCACTGCTTTGCTGCCTTCCTGCCTTCAGCCCACCATTAACTATTTCTCCTCTGCAAGGCCCCTCTGCCAGGCCACCCTGCCTTGGAACCAGCCAACTATGAACTAAAACCTCCACAAACTGTGACCTACAATAAACCTTTCCTTCTCTAATGCTGGGTGCTGGGTATTTTGTCTCAGCCACAGGCCCTTACTCACCTCTAGCTCCTCCATGGTCACAATCCCATCATGGTTGGAGTCTATCAGCTCTTCGAACTCTTTCTTCCTGTCTCTGACCCAGCTGTCATCCATGTCCTGGCCCTGTTGGTTCTCGACTGTGCCCACAGGCAGGGAGATGAACTCAGGCAGAGAAAGCTGCTTGTCACCATCCTGGTCTACAGACACAAGGTGAGGAGGGAAGACACTTGCAAGGGCCTCACGAGAGACACACAGTAGGGGAGCTGCCATGTTTGGCTCATTAGATTCTGGGCTAACATCTGCAGCTGCCTCTTGAGGGACCACTTGGAGACCTGGTTGGGCCTGGCCCACCCTCTCTGACCTGGAACCTGTGGGGTGACACAGCCTAGTGTGGCCACAGCCTTACCCAAGTCCCGGACAATCTCCTTGACCATGAACTTGAGCATGCCCCGGCTGTGCTCAGGGTGAAGGAAAGACAAGAACTCGTCCTCAGTCAGCAGCAGGTCTGCAGGGGGGTTGTCTGCCTGATACCAGCGGTCTTTGAGGTTCTCGAGGACTTCCTGTGCTGAGAGAGGCATGCCCGTGAGGACCCTGGCATCCAGACACGAGCACATATATCCAGGAGGCTCCATGGTGCTGAGTGGAGAGGACCCAGCCCACCCAGGAAACCCTGGCCCTGGAAGGGGACACACAGGCCCCCTTGACACAGCTCAGACTCCCAGACAGGCAATGAACTGCAGACACAGCTCCAAATCCTCCAGACTCTTCTCCAGATTCAACCTGGATCCCTGACTTGGCCCAGAACCCCTCAACATGACCCAGGACCCCTGAAGTTGCCCAGACCCCTGCACACAGCCCAGAACTCCCTGGACACGGCTAAGAACCCCCAAGACAAAGCTCAGACCCTTGGACATTGGCCTAGAACCCCCCCAGCATGGTCCACGGCCCCCTCACATGCCTAGGATCCTTGGGAGAGAGCCAAGAACAACCCCACCCCCATGCAGCTCAGACCCTCCACCTTTCTGGGTGCACCCCTGGCTACCTGTTCCTGGCAGAAATGGAAACTGTGCAAGGCTGAGTCACCCTTGGCGACGTCTGTAGGAACAAAGGTGTCTGTTTTGTTCCGCTACCTCTTCCACGTGCAGCACCGCACAGAGGATAGCACAGCAGAAAACCCCACTTCTAGAAATGACTGACACTGCGCACAGAGCTCCCACAGAGCCTCTGGCACTGGGCCTGGGCAGAAACACATGACCCCACTGTCCTGGGACCCCCAATGGCCAGTGACCAAGTCCTGGTGTCCAGGACTGTGAGAAGTAGTGGGTGGCTCAACCCTGGACCCATCACCCTCTGGTCACAACAGACAGAGAATGGCCGCTGTGTCTCAGTGCTGACCTGCACCCTTGCCTGTGACAACCTAAAGGAAACAGAGGCCAGGCATGGCGGCCAATGCCTGTCAGGCCTGTGACTCAGCAGGCTGAGACAGGAAGACAGCTGAAGCCCAGGAGTTCAAGGCCAGCCTGGGAAATGCAGCAAGACCTCACTTGAAGAAAAAAGGGCTAACGTCAGGGGGCACTGTGGGAACTGGGAATGGGTGGCCGTGAGAGGTCCTGGTGCTGCTGTGGTAGGGCTATGGTGCTGTCTTGCCCAAGTAAGCTGCACACCAAGGACCAAGGGCACAGGGCACAGAGCACAGTGCCAGATGCGCTCACCCTGTGTGGCCAGGCCCACGGGACAAAAGTGCAATGACAGACCACAAGTGACTGACCAGAAGAGAGGAAGAGTACCACAAGCCCTCACCCCAAGCCGCACCAGACTAGGGCTGGGGAGGAATCACCAGGTGCTGCTGGGCAGGTGAAGAGGAGGTGGAGGCAGTGACACCCAGGGCCTTAACTGTGACCACCCCCCCCCCACCAGCATGGCTCCAATGCCCCCGCTGAGGGTTCCGAGGGCCCTGAGTGAGGTGGGCTCACCTCAAGGGGCCAGGGAACTGCCTATTCCTTCCTCTATCACTGCTCTTCCACTGTCTCTGCCGGGGCCCCTCCGGTTCCTCTTACCCCACCTCAAGGCTTACACAGGCCGTGCTCTCTCCTTGGAACCTCCTCATCATGGGGCTGGGTACTCCCTCCAGAGCAAAGCACCAGATCTTGAACCTCCAGCCAAGGCAGGTCTCCATCCTGTGCCCTAGAGCCCTGGAGTCCTCCTTGGGACCAAACTGAGTACTGACAACGACATGTGCAATCAACCACCGAAGGAACTCTACCAGGCAGGTGGACACTGCTCTGACCCAGGGAGCACTCAGGCCAGAGGGTTAACAGTGCCAGCCTCCCACTTCCTTCTGACAGCCGACATCCACCCACGCTGGGTCACACTGCCCACAACAAGTAAGACACACTCACACTCCCTCACACAACCTGACAAGCTCAATCCGCCCGCCTGGTATCTCCTGCCGTTCTGGGCCACCCGTCTGCCCAGCACAGCAACCCTGCACTCACTCTCCTCATCCACCTTCAGCTCCTCGTGGTTCCTGATCGCATCAGCAACCTCTTTCTCATTGTGGCCTTTGCTTGTCAGAAACTTCACTTTGTATTCATCCCAGGACACGTGGCCTAAAAGGAT